ATATGCTTGACATGGCTAAACTCATACTTAGCACAAAACGATTCAAGAATAACATCAAGTGACACCCAACATGACCCATTTGAGCCTGGTGTAGTACCAATTTGTGAAAGACTTACAGGATGTGTGAAAATCACACAAGACGAACCTCAAACCCCAGAACTCCAAACTAATTGATAAATTTTTTAATTAAAGTCTAATATTACTCTATTAAACCATCAATTACTTAAATCCAACATCAATTTCACATATTCATTCAATTAATTTCAATCTTCACTATATTCTATAAATCATGGGTTTCCTATGAGAACTACATGCACTCACAAATTCTCAAACAATTCAAATTACATGAAATTAACTATACATATAGTTCAAACATCATATATAACACACATAAGAAGAGTACAAAACAAAAATTCACAAATTGCAAGACATAATTGAGATTCTTCCCTCACAATATACAAGAATAGATAAGAAATTAGAGGTCACCCTCACTATCCAAACATATATTTTACACCTTGAGAGAGAGACTACTCACTCCCTCCTCTTACTTTGATGAGCGCTAGAAGATGGACGTGGATCTTTAGGGCTTCTCCAACAATTTTTGGCTTTTCCCATTCTCCATAGTATAAAGCATATAAGAAAGTAATGAGACACGTGAAAAATAGAAAACTAATGTAACCCTTTTTTTAAAAATTTAACCTTCATTTAACCCTTCAGTAAAAACATTTAACCATAGCTCTCTTTTCTTTTACCTCAAATATTAATACTTATAAATAAACATTATATCAAATAAACATATTTCTCCCAACCCAATTATAAATAAAATAAAATATATAAACATTTATAATAAAACACATATTTTCCAAAATGTATTTAATTACATAAATAATTAAAAAATATATATTTCTCCAAATACTTTCAATAACAAAATAATTTCATAGATCTTCTTTATTAATAAAAACACTCATAATTATTACAAGCTTCTAAAATATTTTATAAAATTCCTTTAATTAATTAAAATAATTATAAGAAAATAACTTAGATAACTATATATATAAAAATAAATAATAACTAAACAATTATATTAGTAGAAAATCTAGGGTGTTACAGGCCACAAAATGCTCACAACATTATTGACGTCGAGTGTGAACATAGTCAGTCAAGTGTGAAAGATCTAAAGGCTTCCTATTATGAATTCACTAGGTGCAAGGATAGTCACATCGGATATGATGTTTCTAAAGGCTTTCAACCTCGACACATTGAGCATAGGGTAAACCATATTGAGCGCTACCGTGTTCTTGAAACTAAGTTAAAATAAACGTTTGCATAAAACATGTGAGTAAAGTGAAAAGTAAACCTTATGAACGAATGATTAAGATAAGAATTATGTGCATAGAGTTGGGAAGAATGTATGAGATGATGATGTGAGATATGTGAAACTGTGTGAAATGTGAAATGTGAAACTGTGTGAATATGAATTGTGTAACCGTGGAATGGGCTGTTCCAGACCAGAATGGGTCATTCCAAACCAATCAAAGGTCCTAAAAAACTTGGTCTGGAACGAGCCATTCCAAAATCAGAACGGGCCGTTCCAAAAGGTTAAAAGACCTAACAAACCTAGTTTGGAACGAGCCATTCTGGGAAGGGAATTTAGTGTTAATTTGTATCTTGGAACGGCCCGTTCTCAATTCAGAACGCGCCGTTCTGGTTTCCTGAACGGACAATTTTGATTTTAGAACGGGCCGTTCTAGGGTGCCAAAATTAACACATAACGTTTGGATCCGGAACGGGACGTTTCGAATCCAGAATGGGCCATTCCGGCCCACGTCTGATGCTTATAAATAGAAATCTCGGGCACAGTTCTCAGGACCCCAAAAATTTTGTCCAAGACTCCTTAGAGCTCGAAATTTCTCTCTCTCTCCCTCCTATTGTATTTGAAATTTGTGAGGCATATTGTAGTGTGAAAGGTTGCTATAAAGCACCTTCTCCATATTTGAAGATTCAATAGAAGCTCGTTCAAGAGATATTTCAATCAATCTTCTTCTATATTTTATTTCTCATCTTTATCTCCATCTTTTATTTATAACAAACACAATCATGTAGATATTTTAGGGTTAATCATATAATTTAAATTTTAAGCATGTAAATAGTCATCAATAAAATGGGATTTAATATTTATATTATTATTTCTTATAATGTTAACTTTATCATAGGGTACCGATTAAGGGCGTTGTAGGGGTGCTTAATACCTTCCTTACATGTAACTGACCCCCGAACCCAATTCTGGTTATCAAGGCCATTATTGGATTTTAAAAAACTTTTTCTTTTTCTAATGTTTTGAGTAAAATATTGGTGGCGACTCCTAAGAACCTATTTTCAAAATCATTGATTAAGGATTAGTCTGGCGTCCGAGCATTCCTTAATTGATGAGATTTTCAAAAGGATGTCTAAACCATAGGTCGCAAGATTAGAAATTTTTGAGTTGTGATAGGGATGAAAGGCAGAGGGTCTCACACTAGTAAAAAAAATGTTGGGGGTAAGGTACTGGATGGTTGAGAAACCAAGGGTCAAGGTAACACCTTGTTTCGGAGTCTCCACCTAATCAACTCAATAACCCCGATGAATGCTCAGCATTCCAGGATTGGTATGAGAGTAGGTCCCAAAATTTGGATAAAGATAAAAATATCCTATTGATATATAGTGAGATTCATTCGAGGGATTGAATTGTACCATTTATGGGTAAGGACGTATGTACTCCTAATCACTTCCAAAACATGGAAGTATGGATCCATACTATATTAGTGTCATGTAACTATAACTAGATTGAAATCTAGTTTCCCCTATAAGAGTTTAATAGGTAAGTATTCTTACCTTGACAAGAGTTAAGATCAATATTTCTCACTCTTTGTATTTGTTTTCTATTTTTGTGCATGTGGGACTTTATGAAGATGGATCACCCTCTGGTCACGATTTCATTGAGCATTGACTGGACAGTAGGAAGAGCCCCGGGTATGGAGGTTGTCCCAGATTATCATCACAGTTTCTTGTAGACCACCATAGTATCACCAATATCTATGTTACACAGTAGTAATTTAACTTATTTTTTTCGGTACTATTTGACTTTGCTCATCCACCTCCTACACCTCCCGATCCTATACTAGTTTTGCTAGTTGTTGTGGTACCTCAAGCCCTTAAGCTAGATCCATAGGAGGCAGTCCTTGCTCCTATTAGAGAGCCAGCACCAGAAGAGATAGTAGGACCTAAGCACGAGTTTGTCCTTGCTGAGTCCCCAACTCATATACCTTGGGTTCTTAGTAATGGATACCACAATGGATTTGATCCATCTTCTCTTTCTTTGAGTACTCAAAGTTCCATTGCTTCAAAGATGTTTGGAGATGACGCTACAGAGGATTAGACATGGAGAAATGACACCTTTTTGCATGGGGAAGGGGTAGTGACAGTTAGGTTAGACTGACCTTTTTGCTATGTATATATGTCAGGGTAGATATGATTGATTCCCTGTATGTTTTGCTATTATATGTACAATGCTTAATGAAAGTCTTGTATGTGTATAACTACTTCATGAAAGTGTGGTGTTAATCATGTAGACTTAGAAATGGATCCTTATAAATATGATTGAATTTTTATTATTTAGATTTAAAAAAATTACTATAAGTTTTTTATGATTAATACAATATATATATATATATATATATATATATAAGAACAAGCTTTATTTGAAATATTACATCTTGTATGAAAGATGTTTTCTCGTTGTGATTGTGTATCACTAGGTTGGTTGTTGAGGACCCTTCTCATCATAAGAAGTTCCCCATTGTAAGGATAAGTGACCTCACATGACTCTCCCTCACTTGCTTCTTCTTCATTCCTGCCATCCCTAGTCATATGTGTGAGGAACCACAATCACATCACATTCACAATCAATACAACATCTCATTTCATGTCAACATACTCACATCATAATTATTTGAACAATTAAGCCATAATATGAGAACATCCCAATGAATCCAATTATCAGCTAGATCATCAATTTTACCAAGTAATATAACAATAACATTTATAAATCAATATAAAACTCGATTGAATTACCAATTTAATAGGATCTTAACTCAAATAGTAAAACACCCAATTTTTCCAAAACCTAACTCACAGGCACTTTTCTACAATTTCGTTCTCTCTCCTAGATCATCATTTTTACAAATTATTTACATATTCCTAATCTTAAACACATAAAGAAATATATATAAAATTATTAAAAATTCCACAGGAACTCTTCTCCACCTATTCCCTCATGTAACTCTACACATAAATCTCTCCTTTTCAGAGAGTGTAGAAGAAAAGAAGAGAGTGTAGAAGAAAAGAAGTCAGAAGTGAAAAATGTGTTTTTTGGGAGTGCTAGAGCGCTCTATTTATAAGCATCCGGTGTCACCGGAATGACCCGTTTTGAATCCAGAATGACTCATTCTGGACTCTTACGTTATGTGTAAAATTTAAATCCATAATGACCTATTCTCAAACTAGAACGACCCGTTCTAGGGTTGCATTTAACCCATAATGGCCATATTTAAAATGCCCCGTTCTGAACTAGGGTTACAAGCCTTTTTAGTAGTTTGGAACGGCCCGTTCTGGACTACTAAATTACCCTTGTTTTAGTAGACTGGAATGGCTCGTTCCAATTTGGGAACGGCCTATTCTGGGCTAGTAAACCACCCCTGTAAATTTATGAAAATTACTCAATTACCCTCAAAAAATGGTATGAGAACTAGGGTGTTACAATTCTCCCCTCCTTATAGAAATTTAGTCCCTAAAATTACCTAAAGCAAATAACAATAGATATGACGCTTTCATCTTCTCCTCTAGCTCCCAAGTAGCACTTTCAGGTGTAGCTCCTCCCCAAATTACTTTCAGCAAAGGGATTTCCTTACCTCTAAGTTGCTTCACCATTCGGTCCTCAACTCTCACTGGAGTAGTTTCCATTGTCAGGTTCTCCTTAACCTCACAAACCCCTTCTCCAACAAGTCTTCTATTTGTTTCTTATGCTCCACTAACTCTACGGGTGACATCCTATAAGGTGCAATAGAAATAGATCTTGTTCCTGGTACTAAGTCTATGGAAAACTGTACTTCTCTTGTAGGTGGTAAGCTAGACATATCATCAGAGAAGACATCTGAAAAGTCACGCACAACAGGAAATTCATTCACCAAAACATTACTCTCAGAATTTAAAGAAGCTAACAACATGTACACTTGGGCATCCTCTTGCAAAGATACCTTAACTTGGTTGGCAGTCAAATAGTCCTTACTCACCTTTTCAATAGGCTTGCCAAAAACAATAGATTTATCAGCACAATTCAAAAGGACATGATTGGAAGATAACCAGTCCATACCCAGAATAACATCTAGCTGACTTAGAGGCAAACAAATTAAGTCAACCATGAAATTTATACCATCAATACTCAAAGGACACTTTAAACAGACATAAGAAGTAGAAAAATTCAGTTTTATTTCCTTGTAATTTTACCGGCATGTTATTTGGATTAAGTTTATGAATGTGAACTCTTTACCCTTACGTGGCTGGAAATTTGATTTTTAATGATGAAAATTTTTGATATTTTTTATAATTACTGTATATGTATGTTGGGGTAGAGGGTGTCACAGAGAGAGAGAGAGAGAGAGAGAAAGAGAGAGTTACAAGCATCATATTGTGGAGGTGGTAGTTGTTGAGGAAAAGGTGCGTGGAGTGTGATAATGACAATGGTAAGGTTTTCAATATACGCGAAAGAGAAAGAAAAAAAAAGAATAGAAATGGATGACCTTTTATCATTTTCAAGCACGATCTTGGGATTGAGAGGTTGATGTCGGCATCGTGTTTGGCCATGGTGAAGGCGATGGAGGTGAGGAGGATATGGGAGTGACATCAGGGAAGAGGTAGTCATTGAGGAAGATGTGAAGTGTAACAATATTAGTGGTGAGATTGTCAATCTACTTGGGAAGTGTAAGAGAGGTTAGGTCTTTTGAAATGGATTTATAATCAGGTTTTCGGAAGGGAATTTGTAATTAGGTTTACATAGATGAAGATATATTAAATAAGAAAGAGATCATAGAATGACATGTTAGCATTTTTGTTGACAAGACAATGTTTAAAATTAATTTTTAAATAACATATCATCGTAATACATAGTAACTCAACTTTTATATTATAAATAGACTGTCTATCTTTAATATTTTGATAGAAATAATACCAAACACAAGCTTAAATTTATTTATAATTTTTTGTTTTTTAAAAAATTTGCAAATACCAATGAATATTTATTGATATTTTTAAAATTTGCAAGTACATACTTAACAATCACACGGCTATGAAATAATTACAAGACATATTTTTATCTAACAAATCCCACAATTCTATTATCATCCCTAACACTTGTCAAGCTTTAACACAATTATACTCATTTTTAATTAAAATTTTTCTATTTTTACGTGTGTAAACTATTTTTTTTATAATGATTTTTGTTTTTAAAAGTAAATTTTATTTGATTTTTAAAAATAAATTTTAATTTTTCTTAAAGAATTAAAAACCGATCTTAATAGTTTGTTTGTTTGGGATGAAAATAGAAAGAAAGGGGAAAAAAAAAGAGTTTTCCTTTGATTAGTTTGCATGTAAACAAAAAAGGAAATAGAACTTCCGTCGGTTTAAATTATTTTTTAATTTGAAAAGAAAAAGAAAGAGCAAGTGTAAATTTGAATTAAAAGATAAAAATATCTTTAAATTTTATATTGATAATATTTGTTTTATTTTATTTTAAGGGGCAAAAGAATTTTTTAATTTATTATTATGTTATAATTGATCAATTATCTTTATTTTTTATAATTAGAATATATTTTATGTGTTTATTTTTATTTCACTATATTATTGTTCAATGATACTAACTTCCTTTTACAAATATATCTCAAACATAAGAAAGAGAAATATCATACTTTTCTCTCTTTTCACTTTCTTTTCTGTTAAGTTTTCTATTTACTTTCTTTCTTTTCACTTTGTTTCCTTCTTTCCGCTTTCTTTTCTTTCAATTTTTTTTAAAAGCCAAACACATTGTGAATATCTCTGCTTTCTTTTGGTTAATCTTTAGAAAATTTTTCATTTGTTCCTTGTTTATCTAACCAAACCTTGGGATTTGTTCTTTTTCCCAACATTAAATTTTTGCTGGAATAAAACCAAAAATTGATTTAATATTATATTTCATTAATTTAAATTAACATATAAAATATTTTTATAATTATTTAATTTGAATTGATGAAATAAAGTGTTAAATAATTTATAGAACTAATTTATATATTAAAATTTTTTAATTTAATGATTAAATTATTGAAATTTTATGTAAAACATGAATTATTAAATAAAATAAGTCTAAATAAACTTACTTTTATAGTAAATATATTAAGTTTTATTTTACTTAATAATTCATGTTTCACATTAAATTTCAACTATTTAATCATTAGATTAAATATTTTTAAATTAAATATTTTTAATGTATGAATTAAGTCAATAAAATTTTTAAAAATTTAAAAATAATTTGATATGTCGTTTCATTAATTTAAATTAACGTATAAAATAATTATCCATTAATTTGAATTAATAAAACAAAATATCAAATAATTTTTAAATTTTTTTAAAAATTTGCATAACTCCAAGAGTAAGTTTACCTATAATTACTATACTCAATAACTCATGTTTTCATCAAATTTAAAAAAAAATTGAAAACTATTTAAAATTTTATTTCATTAATTCAAATTGACGGATAATCATAAAAATATTTTATACATTAATTTGAATTAAAGAAATAGAATATCAATTTTTTAATTTTTTTTAAAATTTGCAGATTTGATCTATAAATTAAAAAATTTAAATTTAATAATTGAATCATAAAAATTTAATGTAAAATATGAGTTACGGAATGAAAGAAATCTAGATAAATTTATTCTTTAAGTAAATAAATCTCTCCTTGCATTAGGAGGGTTAAAACAATACAATTATAAATTTTAGGATTTACTAACTATTATTTTATTTAATAAATTTTCAATTAAATATGAATTTTTTAAAATTTATTATTATTATATTAGAAATTCTTTAATCTTAAATTATATATACAAAATGTTATATTAATCTAATATGATTTGATACTTAATTCTTATAAAATAATATTGATATAATATATTTTAAAATATACTAAAATATAAATATTTTAATTATCTTGAAATTATTGTTTAATTTTAATTAAATTCGATATAAACATATAAATTTATAGAGTGATATAATATTTAATAAAAATAATACGGATGTAATTTAAATTATACTCTATATAAATTTGGAAGAAAAGAGAAATCTCGTGGGAATAGGGAATCATATTCATATATGAAGAATTTGAGTCGAAGAAAGGGAAGAGAGATCGAATAGAAGTGATCAAATAGTAACGCCGTTTCAGTCAACGCACCACTTTTTGCTTCACTCATTTTCTCCCCAAATCTCATTTCCACGATCATCGCTTTACTCATTTCCACGATGGGTGTCTGTGCTTTCACTACCATCTATTATCTTCTTTCTCGTGCTCACGCTTTTCGTTGCTCTAATTTCATTTTAATTTTCAGAGCTAAATTGGTGTTGCTGCTTCCATGCTTTCAGTGATTAGGGATTAGGAATCTCACTCTCGCGTTAGTTGTTGTAAGAGAAAATTCCTATTCCATTCTTACATTACCAAATATGCTAACTTATTTGTGTTAAACTGTTAATACTTGAGTTCATCTGAGTAATTAATAGCCTCAAAGTTTATCTGCTCACACGTTGAAATTTATAAACTATCTTACGTCAGTGCCTCAGTGGTGAAAGACCATTTTGTAATCGTTGATTGTCATTGTTATTTCTTCATAACAAGCTAATTTGATTCTGATGTAGTTGCGTTATGTATTTCTTATTTATAATCAGGAACAACATAATAATTATGAGATGTAGCAGCCAGACACTTTAATTTCCTTTATCATTTTATAGAAAAATCAAAAGGCACGACAGATTCCAGCTTCTTAAAATTAATAATTATATTCCAGCTAATATATGCAGAGATGTCGCTGACGCTATTATAATCATATTCCCATTTGACACAAATGGTTAGGATAGGGTTCGAGCTTGTATTTCTTATGATGCGAGTTCCATACTCCCTGTTATTATTATCCTTAAAATCTTATTTTGTGGGTATATGTATTCATTGAGATCCCTTGGTTCTAGTGGTGAAATCCCTCTCATGGTCCTCTGTTAACAAGTAAAGTTCTAAGTTAAATTAGACATTACTGAACCTTGATTATTTACTTAGTGGATAGTAATCTCTGATCTAAGGATCATCGGTATGTTATTTACTCCTTGTCAAGTAATCATGAGAGTGTCATTCCCAATCTAGCATTTTAATGACAAAAAAATTAATATTCTAGTCTCCCAAAATTAATAATTGGGGTTGAAATAGAATGACAGAATTTTAATATCCAGAATGTGCATTAATAAGAAGAGTCTAACTTCATATTGATACATGAATTTGAGCTGGTGAGATCAAAACATTTTTGCTATAACAAATTTCCATCACCTTTATAGTTTATACCAATTATTTGGGACCTAGTGTGAAAACCTGATATATCATGATGATAACTGCTAAGATGTCAAAGCAAAATTACTAACATACTTTTAACTTCCAAAGACAATCCATAGAAGTATCAATTTATAAAAGTCTATCCAATTAAATCTTGATAAACCGCAGGAGCTTATGGCAACCTGCAATTATAGACAGATTTATAATTCATATCCTATACCTCCCGATGTTATTATTGCCAGGGGCAAACAGAAAACAGAGAAAAACAAGAGCCTCTAAGCAAACACAAACCTAATTCACGTAGACAAACTGGACAAGTTGGTATTTTTGTACAACCAGGCGGAGGAATCCTGGCAACTTCTGCATATTCTGAACACTCAATTGATTCGGAACAAAGTTTGTCTGAAAATGTTTTATGATCAAAGAATACTTAGCTACAAAGAATATTTTTGCAGCTTACGAGTTGCCTCTTTAACTCCTGTTATGCATGTTGAGGCTGAGTTTGTTTTAGCAATTAGCATGATCAAACTATTGTTGATTAAGTGGAAGTCAACTACCAACTATTAACTTATTCTTTCCTGGCTGGTGTTTCACAGGTCATTAAAATTGATTCTGAAGGTGAGTTCATCTGCAGTGAGTTACACAGGCTATTCAAGCTGTAGGGACTATCCAATCTGAATTTAAAAAAATATATATATATTTGTGCTGAGGTAAGTTCATTATAATATTATTGTCCATTTAGGTATTAAGACAGGTAATATAGACCTTTTATGTCAATAGTTAGAACTCATTTAAGCTCTTTCTCCTTAAGCTTTCTGTTAGAAAATGTTCCCGTTTAATCAAAATCTTTAATACATATTCCAGCAGAGGCATGCTAACCATGCTTGTGTAAATGGTTAGAAAGATACACATGGCTCTTTCCTCCATTCTTGTTACTTTTTTTTGAATGATAGAACTCCTTGATGGATTCCATATTTCCTCGCATTATTAGGTGTTTGGAAAATTGGCAAGCCAGTAGCAATTGGCCTAATCTATTTCTTGGCCATCTCGATTACTTGGAAATGCAAAGGTCTTTGCATGTTGCACTTTTTCATGATTTCAATAAAAACTAATTAATTTCTTATGCAGTAGTAACTGGTCAACATACACTTGCTTATATGGATTAAATTCGCTTCTCACATTTTGCATCCCTGTATAGAGTTATACTCAAAACGTCAATCAGAGTTGTTGTCAATAGAAGATCTTTGTTTCAGGTTTTGAAAATTTTCCAATTTTGCTTCTTGTTTGGTAGTTCTCCGACTATGCCTGCAACTCAAATAGAAGAGCAAGTTTCCTTGAAACTTCTGGTAAATGAAAAGACCAACAAAGTCATACTTGCAGAGGCAGGGAAGGACTTTGTGGACATTCTCTTTAGCTTCTTAACAATGCCTTTAGGAAACATCGCCAGACTTGTGCAGGAGTCAGATATAGGACCAGTTGGAGTTGGTTGTTTAAGTTCATTGTATGCAAGTGTGACAAATCTTCGCAAGTGTCTGTTGACAGTGACGTGTGAAGAAATGCTATTGCGGCCAAGAAACTCATCGGTAGAATATTGTAGGAGTCTGAAACTTAACATTGATGATACTGAGCCATTGAAGTATTTCATGTGTACGAACTTCCCTAGATGCAGCCATGGCCTTTTGAGCACTTTCAAAAATGAAAGATGCAACTGCGGGAATCTTTTGGCTCATGCAGTTTCTGTCAAAAGAGGCGAAGTCTACAATGGATTTGTGAAGGATATTGCAACTTTTATTGTCATGGATGATCTAGTTGTCATTCCAAATGCAATGGATACAAGCTTTGGTGTCTTACAAAAATGTGGGGTAAAAAGATTGAGTTCAGTACAAGAGATGACTGTGAATATCACGAAGAAAAAGGTTACTTTTTATTTGCATTTCTGTATTGATTGGTTGTTGGTTCCTTATTATTAATATCTCTGTACATGTATCACTTGCCAATTTTTCTTTTCAACTCATTTATTACTTAGTTCCACGCCATAATGTGATTTTATTTTTATTATCCTTTTATACAGGTCCTGGATCTGCTAAAATGTGCTTTATTATCCAAGTCAACTCTGACAGATTTGTTCTTAGTAAAGGAACCATTGCTCAATAATAAATCAAGTTTTGATCCTCCTATTGTTCAAAACAGTAGTACTATCCAAATCAAAGTGAAGGTAGTTATGAGAAAATCAGATGGGAAGGTACTGTTTGCTCAAGGGGAAGAAGATTTTGCAGACTTCCTTTTTAGTTTTCTCACTTTCCCGTTGGGAGGAGTAGTTCGCATGTTGGGAGGACATTCTTCTATAGGCAGCATTGATGGATTGTACAATAGCATAGATGGCTTTAATGAAAACAAATATTTGGTTGCAAAGGAAATGAAGAACAGGCTAGTTGATCCTGTCCTTGCGCCACAGTTCAAATTAAACCTGCAGATGTTTCCAATTCATGAACAGGCTTCGCCATATTATCGGTATTATCAGCGTAGTGGTAATATAGACAGAAGTCCTCTCTATATAGCTAATGGATATAGGAGTAATAATAAGAATAATGAAACTTACAAAGTCATGAAATTAGTGGATCTCAAGTCATCTGGTGGAAGTCTTAAAGGTTATGTCAAGGGTCCAGCACTGTTCATGGCAACTGATGACTTGGTTGTGGAACAAATGTCACCCATTTCGGGTGTATCTTTACTCAAGCGTTTAAAGACACCAATGAATGATGTGGAGGAAAAGATTGTTACCATTGGCATCAAGGAGGTAAGATGGAGTTTAAAACTATAGCCTCCCTAGTTTATCATGCTTTTGTTATCAGCTTAGTCTGATTTTCTAGCAGATTGTATATGTAGCAGTTACTCACTTTACAACGTTGCCTTGGTGCAGGGTCTTAGCATATTGAAAGCATCTTTAACCTCAAGATCAGCTCTAACAAACGGTCTCGGCCACTTGTTATTGTTACCTGAAGTTATGGAGCAGAAATGGTATCATTAACATTATTTTGTGATGGCTGTCAAAATTCTTGCTTTATTGTGTTCAAAATTTTCTGGTTTTTTTTTTTTTTGAATGACTAAAGTTATTCTGTTTTATACTAGTTTGAGTGACATGTAATAATTCTCTGCAAGAGCGTTTTTATTTTCTTTCCTGTTTCGAAGTATACTTTATCGTTGGAGAAAATTATTTAAGTGGATAACTAACTACTTTGTAAAACAATTTTATTATAAAAAAAAATAAGAGAACAATCTTTGACCTATCCGGATATAAAGAATAATTGTATATATTCCTATAACTTCTTATTAATAGTTTTATTTAATATAAAGATTAATTAATTTATTCTTGGCAATCTAAAAGTCTTTTCAATCAAAATTTGTCATGTATGTAAAGTTTGTTGCTCAAAATTGAGTTTTATAATAATTACTATAAAAGCTATACAAAGATGAATTATGATTGATTAATAATGGTTTTTTTACATTAATAGTGAATATCTATTAAATTCTTGAATAAAATAAAAATTACTCGTTTTATTTTATTTATTTTCTTATGAAGTTAAATATCTTAATGCTTTCATTCAATATTATTTTTACATGACATTAATATTAAGAAAATATTATTATTAAAGATAGCAAGACAATTAATATGAAATTAATATATTAACCTTTTCAGTTAATATTAGTGGTTTTGTATGTAGTCAGATAGGAATGAAAATAATTAGAACCTGAATAAGGTATTCTAATATCTGTTTTCATACTCATTTCAAACTTTTTTATTTTTTATTTTTTTTATTTAGAACAACTCATTTCAAACTTACTCGTACTTAATTCTATTCTTTTGTAGGTAGAAACTTAAAATTTTATCTAATTCGTTAGGTACTTATATACTATAACCACTACTTGTACTTTCTTTAAGTGCAAAGTTGCGACAAAATTCTAAACTGAGAAGAAGTTAATATTCAATATTAATTTAATATAATTTAACAAATCTTATTTTACTTTTTTTTTTTATCATTGATCAAATTTTTATAATTAAATATTTCTAACATTTTATCATCAATATATAAAAAGATAAACTCATTTAAAATCTATCATTTAACAAAGTAATTTTTTTAAGTATTTAACATAGTTAATATCAATTAAACCTTTAATTTTTGGAAAATTATATTCAACAACAATAATAATTAAAAGTAATGTCAATACTGTTTTAAAAACAATGCTTGTATTTGGAAATAAATAAATAAATATAATTTAATATTTTAGTATAATATGTATTATTTTTAAATTATATTCATACATAATATGTCTTAATTATACTTTTAGTCCTTATGTATGATAATTGTACGATTTTAGTCTCTCAAGTTTCAACCGAGTAAATTAGGACCCTTAAATATTGCAATTCTATAGTTTTAGTCTCTTCATCAATCTTTTGTTAAAATTGTAAATTTTTGTTGATGCGATACTTATGGGTACATGACGCTTGATTAAGTAGATGACAAACACTCACATGAAACAAAAATATTTCACATGAAATTAAGATTAAAAGAAATGTTAAAATGTGAAAGATAAAAATTGAATCCCCCTCACCCTTTCCTCCAACAATAACACTGAACCATTAAACCAATGTATAAATGCAAGAGGAGATATGAACAATAATCATAAGATGTATCCAACTCTATTACGTCATGGTGTTAAAAGAGGTGTTAAAGCAAGTATGGGAGTTGGGAAAGGTTGTGGGTGTCCAAAGCAAAGTTACGGAGATGGAGATTATGTTATCATTGGAGAAGATGGAAAAATGAGACAAAGTAGCATGTGGAATAGTGAGTCTTGTCGGGGAGAAAAAATGGGGAAATGATAGCCAGAATTCATAAGGGGAAGAGGAACAAAATCATCATGAAGATCCTATCATATAACGCAAGGGGCATTGATGGAAGCCTCAAGGAGAAGGAGGTGCATAGGTTGATGGTAGAAAATATACCAAATATGTATACAAGAATATAAACTTGTTAGTGTGGATCAGAAGTTTGGTAGGCAATCGTGGGTTGCAAATGATTTTCTCTAGTCTTTTAAACCTTCTAACGGGAGATTTGGTGGGTTAGTAGTGCTTTGGAGAATGAATAAAGTGGCGGTTTATGATATATTTCAAGGAACACACTTCTTAGGGTATAATAGGGACTTGGGGAACAGAAGGTGCAATTTATATTGATGAATATTATTTATAGTCCATGAATTGTTCCATAAAAAAGTGTTTAGGGAGAAAATTGTTAATTTTGGAAGGGTGAATGAGTGAGACAAAATGGTGCTTAGTAGAATATTTTAATGCAATAAGGAGTGAAAAATTAAAAAAGGGGGTGTTGTTTCACATTCAAGACAACAGGAAATGGTGCCATTTGAATCTTTTATTAGAGAAGCAAATTTAGTAGATATGTTGTTGGTGGATTGAAACTTTACATGGTACAAAGATGTAGGGTTGCTATGAGCAAAATAAACAGGTTTTTTTTTTTTTACCTCTGGAAGAGTGGTTATGTTTATGGCCTAATAGTTCTCAATGGGATTGAAGAAAGAATTATCAGATCATTGCCCTATTTTCCTTCATGATAAGGATACTTTTTGGGACCAAAGCCTTTTAGGGTGCTAAATACTTGGACTGAAGTGGAAGGTTATGCAAAGTTTATTAAGCACTAATAGAAATATATTGTCGTGCGAGGAAAGAAAGCTTTCGTGTCACTACAACAAAATATACTTTTAGTAGCATTTAATATAATTTTTAGTGGCAATAAAAATTGTTACAAGATCTTTTACTGACATTTTTACATTAGCCATTGTATGCAGTGTCACTAAAGCATTTAGCGGCAATTATTCAAAATGCTGGTAAAAACCCTTATAATGGTCGAAAAAAATGTATATCTTTTTGTGACATTTTTTACTTTCTAGTCGGAACTTGTAAGATACTTTCTAGTTGATGTGGGACTTGTAAGATGAGTACAAATAAATAATTACTTTATCTCTAGTTGATGTGGGACTTGTAAGATGAGAGTTGTCTTTCTACTTATATATTCTTTTTAATTATCTTATTTCTAATTGATGTGGGACTTTAAGATGAAGGTTATCTTCTAATTATATATATATATATACATATATATAATTATTTTCTTATCAATAGTCGACCCTCTTAAGTTTAAGGATTATTGAGTTTGATAATAGTGAGTAATCTCATACTAATTTAATCCTACATAACAAACTTGTAAGGTGAGAGTTATTATTCATTTATATACTCTTTAATTATTTTATTTCTAGTCGATGTGGGACTAAAATTTTTCTTAATAAATAATTGTCGCTAATAGTAAATTTTGGTGTGATATAAATATATTTTTAGTGACCATTATATATTAGTCACTAATACTTTTATTAAATAATAAAACAAAGGCAATTAATTTATTTCCGGTAAATAATTGTCGGTAAAAATGAATTTTGTTGTAGTGTGTTGAAAGGAAAAATTGAAGATCTTGGAGCAAAGGTTGAAAGAATGGAGTAAGTCACATGCTGGTAATATGGGGGAACACATCAAATAAGAAAAAGATGAATTGCATATGTGGGATTTGAAGGGTGAGGATAACGATTTAATGAGGAATAACAAGATAAATGGAAGTAAAGCATAAATAAAAGATTTTACTTGTTATAAAGGAAATGTGGTGAATTATGACAAATGTCTTGAAATCAATAGATGAAAGAGGGGGATGCAAATACAAAAAAAATCATAACTACATTAAAAAAAAGAAAGAGGGTGAATGAAATTTTAAGTCTAGAGCTGGGAGAGGGTGAGGGTGCATGAAGTAAAATAGTTAGAAAAAGGGATTGCAAGTTATTTTTCTAAGCATTATGTCAAGTGGGTAATTTGGATGGTATTGATTTTAAAAGAATTGATACAAAGGCAGAGAAATCCCTTGTGGCACCTTTTGGGGAGGATGAGACCAAGGCGGCAATGAGGGATTGTGATAGTTCGAATAGCCTTGGTCCATGTGGGTTTAATTTTGGCTTCATAAAAGAGCTTTTAGAGGACACCAAATCATAATTTATAGAGTTTTTGTCATAATTTCATGCAAATGGGCATTTGGTAAAGGGATCAAACAATTCTTTCATAGTTTTGAAGGAATGTCTCCAAAAGGTGACAAATTATTGACCTATTTCTCTACTAAGGAGTATGCATAAGGTGTTGGAAAAAGTTCTTGCAAATAGAATAAGGAGAGTTAAACATATGGTTATTAGAGACACATAATCTGATTTTGCTATAAAAAAAAAGGCAAATTTTGGACGAGGTTTTGATTGTGAGTGAATTAGTAGAAGAGGCAAGAAGGTATGGAAAGAAAATGGTGTTGCTTAAAGTAAATTTTGAAAATGTGTATGATTCGATAGATTGGGAGTATCTATTTTTTTGTAATGGAGAAGATGGGTTTTCCATGGAAGTGGGGGCAATGGATTAAGGAATGTTTATTGCTCCTCTAAGAATACATTCAAATTCTTTTTCCTTATCTTCCTAGATCACTTTTGCATATGAAGTTAACTTTTAATCATTAAAGTGGCGTATCTACAATGACATTCCAACATTCAAGTAAATATTCAGATTACAGCAATAAATGCTATTTTATAAGTAAATAGTGTAATAAATAAACAGTGATACCTCTTGAATAATCCCCTATTTATACTACTTTTAGTGGGTTTTTAGGTTAGTGGGACTTGGATGTAATTATCAGTCAGGTAATTCGAGTTTTAATAAAGATTTAAGGTATTCATTATTTTTAATATTAATGTTTAAGTGATATTTGCTAATAATTCATTCGTATTTGCTTTAAGTATTCGGTTCTTGGAGAAGCCAAATAAGGACTTAATTTATAGATAGGTCGAATGGTACTCGGCCTCTAATAGGAGGCGATGCATCTCATTTTTGCCATATGGTGCAAGGGTATTTAATTACATAGGGGGTGCCCCGAGTATATTTGCCCTTAAGCCTCGAAGGGGAACTTTGAAGGGGTTTCAACATTTTTTTGTAAAAAAAAAAAAAAAAATAATTATTATATCCTTAAAAAAAGTGCATGATTGGATGGCAATCTTGACTATGATTGAGGGGTGACTTGTTTGAATTTAAGAGATTGAGCAATTATGCACATTGATTTGTCATCACAAGAGGTTTTGTCATTGTGAGCTCTACGCCGAGGGGTTCTTGTTGGTGATCAAGTCTGCATCATCCTTCATCTCGTATAAGG